GTTTGATCTTGCAATTTTGACATAGGTTTAGGTGTGTATTATCGTGTATTGTGTGTATGCAAAGTCAAAGGCATGCATGCGGAGTGTGACAACCCAAAACATACTATTTTTTTCCTGCCTAGCGGTTCTTTCTGCTCTCTCTCTCGCTCCCTTTCATTAAGCCCCTCTGACCGGCACAAACAGATCCCATTCAACCTCCTACACTCATTTCTCCTGTTCCAGATGTCGGTTGTCTGCTTTATTTCTATACCCTCCCAAATAGTACGCTTGAATGTCAAGGTACTGTCTCCTGCAACATGCTCTGCTTTAAACCTTTATATTTTCTCTCCGCAAAATGTATCTGTTTGAGCTTATTTGACCCATCACCTTCGGCAAAAGTGTGCTTGAGGAGTGAACATTACTGCAGCTGGCCACACATCACTTGGCATAGTGTACTTGGGGCCTGGAAGCGTAAATGTGGTCTTGCTATTTTCACGGTGTCTGTGACGATGGGACAAACGAAAAAAGTCCTCAGCACATTTTGATCGGAGTCGAAGGAGGTGGACAGAAGTCTTCTCCGTACGATCCAACAGTCAAACTTAATATCATGAATAGGATGAATTTAGCCCATTTCGTTTGAAGGGTTGAAGAACTGGCAGCTGAATTTTACAACAACAACACCAACAATAATATAATAATAATATTCACAAGTTTATTTCCATGATTCTTTATTTTACTTATCCGCTAATGGAAGTAACTTTAGCAAATTCTCAGAATTAAGAATGACGAATAGCGTTTGTACAACGTAGAAGAGGATAATAAGACGTTTATAAAAGTTGGGTTTCGAGGATTCTCTTGTTTCATAAATGTTGAGCTTACTTCCATTTCCAGTGAAAGTGTTTGGTGACTCGTCAACTTGAATTTGGTTGTGATGGCGGTAGCTTGCTCTGATGATGTTGGTCACATGACGGATGAAAGCTTAGCACCTTATCGCCGGAATCGAAGCAGAGTGCCTCGGAAACAGCGTCAGCATGAATCTTTCAGTAAAGCCAATCGACTGCTGGTCAAGAGGAATCCGCCATCGTCTTCTGGTGGAACCGACCTTGGAATCTCTTCACCAAACACTTTCACTCGAAATGGAAGTAAGCCCAACAGAGAAGAACTAGACGATTTCCTGATCTTCATAAACGAAATCGTGAAAAAGTCAAATATACCATGGATGTGAAGGGCATGTACTCCGAGGAAACTCTCAAGAAAAAACTTTTTCGAAAGAAATCTCACTCTGGAATAACACTTAACTTCCAGTCGAACCATAATTATGGGATGAAGATTGGAATACTCCACCGTCGTCTTCTGGTGGAACCGACCTTCGAATCTCTTCACTTAAAATGAAAGTAATCTCAACAAACGCTAAGTCGTTGTCGCCGCAATTTCGGTCACAGACTGCTTTCTATGTACAGAAGTACTCTGACCTCGTGTCGTAAATTGGTCGTGTTGCCAGGGCGACTTAGTTGGACGCACCAGTCCTTCATTATCTTAAACGAAATAGGGCGAACCCATTGCACGCACCTTGTCCGAAGTAGCGATCATCATTCCCAGCGTTTAACAATGGATTTGATACATTCCCTGACGCTTTGTCGGCAACATTCTCAGCACCACTTCCAACTACAACTTGTCATGGAGACAAGCGAAGTCACTCTCTTGACCAACTTTCTGCCAAAACGGTCGCACTATCACTTCTCCTTCTGTCCTAGACTATCTATCCACTCGTTACACTCTCATCCCACTTCCGTCCTATCCCGACCTCTGACTTGACTATGACTAGACTATGATTCCCATGTTTGCACTGTCTTCACGGCTCATCTGCCTGATTCCAGCCGTGTTCCCAGGTCGCTTGTTGCATGCGGAGTGGATGTCCAGTCTATTTGCCCATAATGCCGAATTTCTGTGACGCTTGTGATTATCCGTCCCTCTGATCACGCTGTAGTTGTTTCCTCGATCAGATCGCCCATTTCTTCGTTGCGATCTCTTTTCTTCTGGTTTACGATGGACCCTTAATCCAGGCGTCTCCTTTTTGCTTGTCTCTTTGCATCCCGGTTTTCTCCCAGTTTGAATGGGCAACAGACAATCTTGTCAGTAACGCTACCCTCTTCAAGTCTCCTGTTCATTACATTTATTCCTACAGGATTTTAATTGCCTTCGTGGTCACCAGATTATTCCACTTTCTTACAATTGGCCGTAGTTTTTGAGCCGGTTCACAGGAGCGGAGACATATCCACTTTTGTGAGTCTTTCGCCATCTTTATCTTCCTTTCATCATCTCCGTCTCGCCATCGGCTCCTCACGGCCAGTAGGTTTCTTTTACTTACTTCTCTCAGTTATCCATCACCGAGGAATATCCGAGTCAATTTTTCCGATTCTTCATCCCAAAATTCCATATCTGTTAAGGGTGGGCTTCTGATGATCAGGTTCATCATTATTCCGAGCTTTTGCTTGTAGTTGTGATCGCACTAAAAATTAAGTATTTTTCGGCATATGAATTTTTTCTGTCATTATCCTCTTGAGTGTCACATTCGAACAAACGACTT